GCTCAGAATTTTGTCACAGTAGTCAAGACAAAGAATTTCCATGTTCTTGCAGACTCTGAGATAACCTAACCCAGAATCAGTCACATTAAAATGGATATATATCACTCTTTTAAGTACATTGCCACTACCAGGAGAGCGCAAAATGCTTCAAGAGAAACATCAGTTAGACGAAGAGAGCACACCAATTCATTGAGGATCTCTTGGCTGATGTCCCTTGGAAGTATGTAGAATGTACTGTGTTTATCTATAGCCTTTAAAAAAAGTACCAACAAAATTAAGGAACCCAGAATGCAGCCGGCAAGCAGAATATGCATTTATACCTCAGATATGTTCGATGCAGAGGTGAAAAAGGGAAGGAAGGCATCTGCTATTATTCTGGCTTGGTGAATACATTCCTCTCCAACCACTTTGAGCTTCCATTTTTGCTAAATTTTCTACACAGCTTTCCAGCTGGACCGTTGTTACCTTCCGCTTCCGACAACCCTCTCTTCCTCGAACAAGACCCACCCATTCGCAGCTCCAATCTTCAATCATACGACTATATATATTCCCAATTTCAGAGGGACAATTAGTAAATGCAATCAAACGCCGTCGCCGGCGACCGGGAAAAAAATTCCGGTAGACACAATACAACACATTAGGAAAGTAAAACCAACCAACGCAACAGAATTCCTGTCGACAAAGATAACTACCTTCTTCATTTACGATGAGCTATCGCCGGGAGGAAAGAACTGATTATCTGATTTTCCGACTGTTCTGATCGGCCAAGAAGATGTGATTATATTGAGAGAAGCCGAGGAGCTATGCAAGTGAAAATAAAGGGATGGGATAACCTCACTTCCCTTAGGGATGTGAGATTCACGTCGAAGCAATTTGAGTAGAATAAAAAAACAAAATTTATTAATTACAAGTGTGTGAGAGAGAGATCTTGTCCTCCAACTTGTAATCTCTCTCTTCTCTCTCTCTAGAAACTAGCCCTCTTCTTTTAGGTTGAAGTACCCTAGGTATAGGTTTTGTTTTGTTGTTGATGTATGTGACATATTCTATGCTTGATTGTATTTATTACCAAATTGATGGATGGTTTTCATGGATTGCATTAGTTTGGATTCCATTTTATCTATTGAGCTTTTGACCTTGGAGGGAGATAATCCCCCTTAGAGCCCATTACTGACGTCTTCGGGTCACTCCTATCGTATCTTGTTTGGGAAATCCTCGAGGGAGTTAATTCGATCGGTCTCCTAACAATATATGAAACCCTAGGTTGAATAGAGAACCTACCCATCCATAAATGTGTCATTCCGGGTCATTCCCGGGCGAGTCTATTTCATAACGGTAGGGTAGTGAGTCGATCGAGCTAGGATAGTACTCAACATCGTTCCAAATGACGGAACTAGGGGGACTCAATCTAAGATAGCTCCACCACTTGTAATTAGCTAGGATAGTGGTAGCTAGGTTAGTTAGTTTAGTTTTCCTAATCACTATTCTAGGTTGGCTAGATAACGAAACCTAAACCTAAAGTAAGGTAAGCCTAGATCCTCGTGGTTCGATTAATTTTATTGCTTGCTTACCTTATCCTACACCCGGTCATTGCTTATACTTGGCCGTTGATTGGGAATGTGTAGTTAGAGTCAAGCCAGTTGATATGGAATAAAGGGCGGAGTCAGTTGGATTCACAAGGGAAGGTGGGATCAGTCTATTGTCCATGGAGATGAGAGAGGAAGGTGACGAGGGATGAAGATAATAGTATTCTAATTTGTATTTTCTTTCAAGATGTGTTATATTATTTGATGAATATTAATATTTTCCCATGTGATATGGTCAAATGTTTAATTTTTTGTCACCTCACAAAAAACTTCCATCTCATTAAAGCTTTTTTAACGTCAAATTCAACAAATGTTATTGTGTTTTAAAAGGGTTGATCATTATTTTGTTTACAATCGAAGATTTGGCTATTATATAATTTTAACTGTGGTTCAAAAACGCGCACTTAAACTTGCACTTAACTAGGTAACACCAAAATGCCTCGCCTAGGGATTTCGTGGCAACTAAGGAATCAAGAACACATCGTGAAATAAGGAGACACCAAGGTGTTTCCTAGGCATAATTAGATTGAGCTAGGTAGAAAATATCAAAGGAGAAAATCAACATCATCTACAAAATCAAATATCAATCATTTCAATAACTCAAGAAATTTATAAGCTATTGAGCTATAATTATATGAACTTGTGAGTTATTTTCTTGTTAAGTAAGTCACTATCATTCTAACTGAAATGGGAGTGTTGTAAATTTTTATTGCATTCATTATATATTTTACAAATTGCTAATTTTGCTTCAAATATCTATGCACATTTAGGAAATGCCTAGTGTCTAAACGGCTAAGCAAACTAAATGCTAGGTAAAGCCTCTACACTCTACACTCGTCTATGCTAGTTCATGAAACAAACTAAGGAGTTGTTTGGAAGTTGCGACTGTTTTGTTGAGATTGTTACTATACATGTATTGTTTAGAAAGCATCATTTTTGATTTTTTAGCAGAAACAATACATGGATTGTTTATGTGATGTGACAAAAATTATCACTCAAAATAAGTGATTGTTAAATCTCAACTTTTAGTTATAATTGTTGAGTTAAGATTGTTTTGTCACAACTTTTAACTGATATAACATACACAATCACACATACCAAACATTGTATTACATGAAATTAAAAAATACATTTATTATTTACAACAATACATAAAGGTACAAAAGTTCTGCGAGCAAGATAAACAAAGGAAATCATCACCCAAAATATTTGGCTACCAAAGTGTACCTTTCTTATTCTCTATTTCCACACCACATTCAAACAGCTACAAACTAATACCAAACCAACAACGTCCTGGTATAAAATATCAAATCTTCATACCAACAAAAACTTCTACTAAAACAAATCAACACATAAGAAAATCTTGCAAAACATACATATAAGCCAAACTACGGCACCAGGTAACAAATAGAGAACCCCAACCCTTCAAATCAAAGTACGGCTGCAATGACTTCAGCCACTAGCGCCACGTATAGCTCCTCTGGAAACTTTTAAGACCAGCACCAGCAGCACATCGGTTTTTATACTCATTTGGCAAAGGAATGAGATTGTCGATGCATGTCCAGAAGCAGAAAGGCACCATAGAATCATCGTTCCTAACAACGAAGTAGGCCGGATAGCTCCCCACTGTGGGCATCCGAATTTGTACTGATTGGAGACCCCCTCCCGAACCAACCTTCTTCTCCCACTCTGGATCGCCCTTCTTCAGCAACAAGGAGAAAGTGCAGTGCAATTTTTGTGGTCAATCATCCTGGCGGTGCTACCCTCATTCACGGTTGTCGTCATCAGGAGGGCCGATGTTCATTTCGCATTCCAACTCCGTCTCTGCAGCCGTCGGTGCCATTAGCACCCTCAACATCATCCTACCGATTTTGTGTTTGGCTGGAGTTTCTTTATCATTTAGAATCCATCCTGCAACTGGTTTGACATCACCAGTCAATTCCACAGGGTCGTCTGCTTGTCATTCTGCCTTGGACCTTGTTTTCTTATCGACGGATACTACTGAAGTTTACATGCCATTTGGTGTTGATGCCGTCGTCAATCATCAAAGCTGGGTTTCTGTCATTTTGTTGGGGTTTTTTCACAAGCGTCCATTTACTTGATCCATCATCCAGTTGTCTTTTAGTGGTGTCACCATATATCTCTCTAGTAGGGATTTGTTTTTAGGTGGGGTTCTTTAAGTTTGAGGTCTTGGAGGATGCACTATTTTGAGTTGGCAGTCGCTATAAAGATGGTTTTGAAGTCATCGTCAGTTCAAAGAAGGTGTCCCAATGTTTGGTCAAGCAAAATGCTCACCAACATTCATCAAGTCATAACGGTAGAGACGCTCTCGACCCAATCGTAGGTCGTCCCTTCATTAGTCGGTGTTGGAGATAAATGAAAAATTTCTTAAGTTATGAAGCGAGAAAATCACGATTCAAGAAGCGATCGTCCCCTCGACGTTCATAATTAGGTAATTTTCAGTTTTCACCATTTTAACTTTCAAGTTGGGCATTCACGTCGTTCATGCTCCAGCTTGAGGGAGAGAATAGGGAGTCAACATATGTCGATCGCCTAGCTCAGTCTTCAAGTCGACCGCAATGTACCAGTGTGAGTTCACGTAGTTCAAGAGACGCAGTCAACCATCTCCACCATATCATTCGGATAGACGCCGTCAACCGTCTTCGTCTAGTCGTTCAAGAAGACGCAGTCAACCGTCTCCATCATGTGGTTCGGATAGTCAACCGTCTCCGTCAGACCGTCACGCCGGTCAAGAAGACGCAGTCAATCATCTTCATTAGGTTGTTGATAGAGAAAGTCAGCCATCTCCTAGTCAACCTCGTCCAAGATTTCATTCATCTTGTGTTTTGTTGTACAAGCTTGTCATGCTTGTTCTTCACATTTCCTTTTTCAAGCTCAACATTCTTGTCATTTATGTCTTCGCTTGAGGGGGATTGTTGTAGTTATTTAAACCGTGTGAGTTTTGGGTCTTGTTGGGCCTTGTCCGAGTTGTAGTAGGTATGGATAATTGGTCGTACTCAGCTCTTCTCGTTATGGTTTTAACCTTAAGTCTTTCTTTATATAAGGCTTAGCTACGGTCATCGTGGATTAGTACTGTTCACGTCGAACAGGGGTACCACGTAAAAATCTTATGTCTCTTGTTTTTTTCAATTCCACATCATCAAAATATACTATTTAGATTATGGTGGAGTGAACTCTCGCAACGACACGCAGAAGGATTGAGTCCGTTTTACGCGTATGTTGGTCCAAGCGAAACTAGTTAGATTAATTTAATCTAATTCATTTAAGTAAGTACTCTACTCATGCCTTTTATTGAAATTGTGGTTATTTTTTGAAGTCATTTCTTTCAAATTCGAGTAAGTCATTACCAATTTTACTTTGTAGTGGTAAGGAATTTTGCAAAACAAAAGTCAACTTTGTCATCCTACCAAAACTTTGTCATCCTAAACTTCGTAGTTATCCTTTTTCCAAGACCGATCTACTCTCACTTCAATCACTCTAGTTTCTTCTTCCTTTTCTCATCTTTTTCTCGGGGACTTTGCCTCTAGTTCCTCTGCTTTGCGCTACACGGCGGCCAAAAGGGAAGGGAAAAAGGGAAGATGATCATCAAAAGTACAGCTGATCTCGTGAAAGACGAGCTCCCAATCGAGCAGGAAGCGATGGTGATTCCAGAGGACGGAGGAGCTGTCTCCGGTCTGGTACTTGTGGACATCATCAACGGATTCTGCACTGTTGGAGCCGGGAATTTGGTGAACAATCTCTTTCTCTTAATACATAGATGTAAGTGAAAATTTTGCTGGGCAAGTGTTTAAAAGAGAATAATGATTATTACCCTACCCTGTTTTTTAAAGGCTCCAACGGAGCCGAATACGCAGATCACCGAAATGATTAAGGAATCAGAGAGCATGGCAAGGCTATTCTGTGAGAAGAAGCTCCCTGTCATGGTTTTCCTTGATTCCCATCACCCTGGAAAGCCTGAAAACCCATACCCTCCTCACTGTCTTGTGGGCACCCCTGAATCCAACTTGGTTCCCGGTACAAATTAAACAAATTAGTATTGTTCTTCCCCAATCGATGTCTCTTTGCTGCAACTTCTCTACCTGAAAGTATGGATCTTTTCTTTGCTGCAGCTTTAGAGTGGCTGGACAAAGAACCAAACGTGACAATCAGAAGGAAGGACTGCTTCGATGGGTTCTTGGGATCAATACAGGAAGATGGGTCCAACGTTTTTGTCGACTGGGTTGCCAAGAATGCCATCACAAGTGTAAAAATTATCGATCTTTTACCTCTCTATGAATAGATAGAATAGTATCCACTAATTGAATCAGATCGTTTGAGCCGTTAGTCTCATTGCTGTTGCTATTCACGAATGAAATGCTACACAGATAGTGGTGGCTGGGGTGTGCACAGACATATGCGTGCTGGAATTCGTCTGCTCGACGCTATCAGCCAGAAACCTGGGATTTCTGAAACCTCTGGAGAATATATATTTGTCTAGTAAATAAACCGTTTTTATACTACTGTTACTTAGTTCTGCCACGTGAAAAGAAGAAAAAATGTATAAATTATTAAAATTTCAAGCAAATAACTGAAACAAAAAGCATTAAAATACATAGAAGTTGTTGCTTGAATTTTGACGAGGTGCACAGACATAAGCCTATTGAGTTTTGCGATTTAGACAATGAATTGATTGGAGTTTGGGGCATGATATTATATCCTAACCTCTAATGTGTCAATCCCAATCCCCAATTCACTAACCTAAACCATAAGATTCATTTAATCTTGAAATGAAAATCAACGATGCTGATTCATTGAAATTATCGTTGATTATTAAACGAATTTTTCAATTTGGGTTAGAAAATTAGGAACTGGGGTTCACCCATTAGAGGTTAGGGTATAGTATCATGCCCCAAACTCCGATTAATTCATGATCTAAATACCAAAACTCAATGGGGCATACGGCAGGTCAGCGTACGCTCGGGCATACGCTAGCCTGAACCATATATATGGTGGCTTCTATGGTACCCCGGGTGAAATCCGGGGTACCGCATACCTCGAGTATGTAAACTCTATCTAGACCTCGAATTACCAGGATTTTTGTGTCTGATATTATACCCTAACCCTTAATGAGTGAACCTTAGGTCATAATTATATAAATCATAATCTATAAACCCTAAGAAGGTGCATTCCTTTTTGTGCCTATATTTGGATGAATCATAACCGTCGATTATTATTTCTAATTAAATTGATCTTGGAGTATAAGATTGGGAGAGTTAACACCTAGATTTTGATCTTTAAGTGTTAGAGTATAGTATCATGTCCGAAAGGTCGGTCAATTCAAGGTCTAGATAGTGTTTTCATACTCAAGGTATGCGGTACCCCGAATTTCACTCAGGGTACCGTAGAACTCGCCATATATATATATATATATGGTGGCGTATTCGACGCAACCACGTTTTTTGGTGCACTCAGTGCATCCGCCTCATAATCATCATTCTGAGCATGCGATTCATGTCAAAACTGTATCAATTGTTGTTTATGATATTATGAATAAGAACCACATGAATTTGAAAAAAAATCAATTACGATTTACTTTAATTTGATGGATTTAGGATTTAGAGGTTTAGGGTTAGGGTTTAGGTTTACAGTTTGAGATTTTGCATTGGGATTCCAAATTGAAGGTTAAGGGTTAGGGTAATAGATTGATTTGTTATGATTCTATGTCATATCATCACATTAGATTGAGAGTACTAATTAAAGTTCAAAATTTGATGTATTATGGACACCTTTAAAGATGGGTGCACTCAAGTGAGTGCACCGAAGTAGCCACCATATATATATGGGGAGTTCTACGGTACTCAGGGTGAAATCCGGGGTATCGCATACCTTGAGTAAGAAAACGCTATCCATAACTTGAATTGACTGATCTTTCGGACATGAAACTATACTCTAACCCTTAAAGATCAAAATCTAGGTCTTAATTCTCTAACTCTTACATTCCAAGATCAATTTAATTAGAAACAATAATCGACGGTTATGATTCGTCCAAATATAGGCAAAAAAATTAATGCACCATCTTAGGGATTATAGTTTATGATTTAGATAATTAGCACATAGGGTTCACTCAATAAGGGTTAGGGTATAGTATCATGCCCAAAAATCCTGCTAATTCGGGGTCTAGATAGCGTTTTCATACTCAAGGTATGCGGTACCTCGGATTTCACCCGGGGTACCGTAGAAGGCACCATATATATATATATATATATATATATATATATATATTGTAAATTTCATAAACATTTTCCGAGATAAGGTAAATAGGTTATTCATTATAAGCTAACAAATTTGTAATATTTTGTACTTTTAAATTGTACACATGAAAAGAAACAGGGTAAACCATACAGGAGGAAGGACTGCTTCGATGGGTTCTTGGGATCAACACAGGAAGATGGGTCCAACGTTTTTGTCGACTGGGTTGCCAAGAATGCCATCACAAGTGTAAAAATTATCGATCTTTCACCTCTCTATGAATAGATAGAATAGTATCCACTAATTGAATCAGATCGTTTGAGCCGTTAGTCTCATTGCTGTTGCTATTCACGAATGAAATGCTACACAGATAGTGGTGGCTGGGGTGTGCACAGACATATGCGTGCTGGACTTCGTCTGCTCGACGCTATCAGCCAGAAACCTGGGATTTCTGAAACCTCTGGAGAATATATATTTGTCTAGTAAATAAACCATTTTTATACTACTGTTACTTAGTTCTGCCACGTGAAAAGAAGAAAAAATGTATAAATTATTAAAATTTCAAGCAAATAACTGAAACAAAAAGCATTAAAATACATAGAAGTTGTTGCTTGAATTTTGACGAGGTGCACAGACATAAGCCTGTTGAGTTTTGCGATTTAGACAATGAATTGATTGGAGTTTGGGGCATGATATTATATCCTAACCTCTAATGTGTCAATCCCAATCCCCAATTCACTAACCTAAACCATAAGATTCATTTAATCTTGAAATGAAAATCAACGATGCTGATTCATTGAAATTATCGTTGATTATTAAACGAATTTTTCAATTTGGGTTAGAAAATTTGGAACTGGGGTTCACCCATTAGAGGTTAGGGTATAGTATCATGCCCCAAACTCCGATTAATTCATGATCTAAATACCAAAACTCAATGGGGCATACGGCAAGTCAGCGTACGCTCGGGCATACGCTAGCCTGAACCATATATATATATATATATATATATATATATATATATATATATATATATATGTGGTGGCGTATTCGACGTACCCACGTTTTTTGGTGCACTCAGTGCACCCGCCTCATAATCATCATTCTGAGCATGCGATTCATGTCAAAACTGTATCAATTTTTGTTTATGATATTATGAATAAGAAGCACATGAATTTGAAAAAAAATCATTTACGATTTACTTTAATTTGATGGATTTAGGATTTAGAGGTTTAGGTTTAGGGTTTAGGTTTACAGTTTGAGATTTTGCATTGGGATTCCAAATTGAAGGTTAAGGGTTAGGGTAATAGATTGATTTGTTATGATTCTATGTCATATCATCACATTAGATTGAGAGTACTAATTAAAGTTCAAAATTTGATGTATTATGGACACCTTTAAAGATGGGTGCACTCAAGTGAGTGCACCGAAGTAGCCACCATATATATATATGGTGACTTCTACGGTGCCCAGGGCAAAAGCCGGGTACGGGTACCTTGGCCGATCTTAACCGTTCGTTATCAATCTCCACGGCTCACGTTGAACAAATTACAAAAAGCCTCCTCCGCGTTAAGTTTGTTTTCATCCTAGTCCAACTAACTGCCCCGATTAAAGCCTCCTCCGCGTTAAGTTTGTTTTCATCCTAGTCCAACTAACTGCCCCGATTAAATTAAATGGATTAAGACCCAAACCCAATTGGGTAGACCCACTGCCGCCCAAACCAATTTCCAGTCTCCCTAACCAATTACACGATCCCTCTCTCGTCTTGGAGGGACGCCCCTTCACAGTTCCAAGAGAAGCTCCCCATCCACATTCGACGTAGATTGAATTTCCCAAAAAAATTTTGTCTTGTTTCTTCTTCGCCATTGTATTTCCCCTCGCCTATCTCTTTCTAACATGATTACGGCGACCATGTCTATTATTGTGTTCATCGAACTTTTCATTTGCAAAAGAACCCTTGAAAGAGGTTTGCTAACCCTAGGGTTCATGTCCCTAGTGCTTTGTCATATTGTCTTAGCGTTATTGTGATTTTCTCGAAACTTCTATCACTCGGTGAAATTTAGGTCTCCTGATATGTAGTGTTCGTCTCGCCCAGAGGATTGAGGAAGAAGATGAAGAACACATAATTTGATTCGAATCGGATGGAGAGGTCTCCTTAGTTTGTGTTTATGTATTAACGGTGCGTTTAGGACTAATTCTAGTTGGACTGGGTCTGATCATTGATTTTTGCAGGCTTTTAAATAACATTCAAACGTGGGCTTGTACATGACCCATGCAATATTCAAAAGTGGGCCTGGAACGTGCGAGCCCATTAGTTTTCTCCTGCAGTATCAGCGCCAACCCTAGTTTAACTAGCTTTAGTTACCCTAGTTTAACCTACACGAGTTAAGATCATCATTACTACATATCTTCCCAAATCTTCTAACTCTTGACATTCCAGACTCAACCGTCTCCATCACACGTCTCCACACTCAACCCCCACGATCACTTTTTCTTACACCTACAATCTCTCTTTCCCTACAATCCCTCTTTCCTCCATCTTCACCTTCCCTTGTTCCTTCTTCCTCTGACTCCATGGCAAACATGGGCATTCTAACTCTATCAAACGACGACTGCCGATCCACCACAAGTCTCGCGGACTATCTTTCATTCACGAGCAAGACATCTATTGTGGCCGAGTACGAGTTCATCCACCTGTCCCCTTTCCCTCAAGAAGTGAAGCAGTTAATTAAAAATCTTGGCTGGGAAAAGTTCTTCGATCTCCGGAGTCGAGGAAGCACCAGTTACTGCCCGCATGTGGTGAGGAAGTTCTACCACAATTTAGAGCTGTCTGGTCCCTCCGATTCTCATCTCGTGTCGGTCTTCCTGGGTTATAGAGCCTGCTTCCAGCCTGATCAGTTTGCTGAGATCCTCGATCTCCCCGCCGCAGGACACCACATTAATAGCAGAAGCGATCTTCGGCGGCTGTACGATTTTGATTTTGAAGTTGAACTGGGGAAACTGACGAATGGGCGCATCCAGGCTTCTTTCCTCCCAGATCCTCTTCGATTCCTCCATTGGATGATCGTCAACTGCTTCATGCCAAGGTACAGTGGTCATTCGATAATTCGTAGACTTGACCTGTTTATCCTTGTGCAAGCTCAAAGAGGTGTTCCTCTTAACCTCGCATCTCTCATGTGCGTGAACATGGTTGAGGCTGCTCCTAGAGGGGAAAACTGGTACACTGCCTTTCCATATGCCACCTTCTTGACCACCTTTCTTGGAAGGGTTGGGATGGATATGGGGGTTTATGCTAGGGAGGACCATTCCGCCTATTTGCCAGTCTACCGTATCATCGAAGTGACCAATACTTTTTATGACCTTCGGCATATGGAGCATGAAGAGACCCCTGAGGCATCCTCAAGCAAACGTCCTCGGCTTACATGAGAGTCGATTGATGCAGGGCGGGGTGGAGCAGTGCAGGGCGGGGTGGAGCAGTGAAGGGGCCAGCATTGGATGTGTTTTGTTAAGAAGTTTACCGTAAGGCTTCGTTGTTTTTTTTTCCAGTCTTTTTCTCCAGCACTCAAAACTGTCAGGTACTGAGGGGAGCCAGTACATCATCTGACTAGGAAAGTCTCCCATTTTTTTAATTATCCAGACAAATATTTTTCTATGCATGCAGTCTTTTGTGAATTTGCCATGTGAATTTTGCCTAAGACAGGTGACGAGATGCAGTAATGGTCATCCCTAAGCAAGGAGGTGCAATTGCATCCTACACTTGCTATGATGTGAGAAGCTATTGCAAGGGTGCAAATTTGGTTGCAATTGAAATTGGCCCACGAGTGGGGACTATTGATGAAATTGCAATGTTTTCTCAAAATTATAGAAGTGGAAGTAGGGACTACCTATGAAATTGCAAATGAATTTCATTGGGGGAGATTTTAATCCGCTTTTGTTCTAAGCAGTTCCAATTAGGTTGATTATAATGATTTTTTTATCTATGGTGATTTTTTCCCCTTTTTTATCAAGACTCATGCTTCTTTTATCCCCCTGTGGATCTATGATGCTTCGTTTATAGTAAAATATCCTTTTAATTATACACAATAAAGAATCCATTAATTATGTATGCCTTTTTATTGTATTTATTACTACAATGAATTCTCTGACTAAAAGGGTAGTGAAAACATCGTTGGTGGAAATTCAAGGAATGGAATGATAAGGGCTGTGCATAAATTCAATTTCTGTAAATAATTAATTTTATTATTATTAGTTAGTAACGTCATTAGTTTTAGTTAGTGGGTTAGTGGCTCCTACTTTGTAGCTTCAATCTGTTCAAGAGTTGGTCATTATTTAATTATACGATTGGGAGCCAATCAGTTTTACCTTTTGGGTTACCTATACATGAATGCAAATTTAATTATACGATTGGGAGCCAATCAGTTTAACTATACATGATCCCAATTAAACCTCTCTACAAGATACAATTGCTTGAAGCCTTGAACAGACGCAACCTCACTCACAAGTTGGAAGCTGGAATTTTGGTGAAGTCCCTTTGCTATTTCCACGAAAAAACAAACCAAACCAAACCAAATATAGAAAACATTCACCATACCAAAAACCAAATATAGCAAGCATTCACAATACCAAAAACCAAATAAACAAAGCATTCACCAAACCAAAAACCAAACCAAAAACCAAATATTAAAACCATTCACCAAACCAAACCAAAAACCAAATATAAAAAGCATTCACCAAACCAAAAACCAAATATAAAAACCAAAAATAATAAGCATTCACCGAACCAAATAAAAAACGGTTGTCCATCATCCTGAGAAAGAAAAACATAACTGTTGTCCATCATCTTGAAAACTAAAACGAAAAATCAGGTTGTTTTGGGCTCGTTGACTGGGTTTCCTTGTGCTCTTTCTTTCCTTCTTCCTCTTTTCATGGGTTGTCTTGTACTCTTCCACTGCAGCTTCAACTTGAGGTGCAACTCTTCTTGCTTCCGTGAGCACCATATGCCTTATGTAGTTCATGGGCTCTCGAACAAGGTACAAAGCGATCTGCATCCTCCTCACTTGAGTGCATGGCTATCAACATCAACAAACATGGTGCTTACCGCATGATTCAAAAATAACAATCAATTGTGGTTTTCTAATTTTGCGAATTAGAATTGGCTTTACCCAAATATAAGAGGAGTCCCAGCTTGCGCCAAACATCCACATGCATACCCAGACTCCACTGTCAGACCTACATAAAATAAAAGCATTGCGTGATAAGAACCAAGTTGATAAGACGTCGTTTAATATCACAAAAAAAATGGGCATACTTACCGATTAAGTTGTTCTTGATCCTTTGAAGGAGTTGGGTACGCAAACTCCGCAATCCTTGGTGGCGACAATCCTTGTTCACGACAGAGAATCTTCCACAAGGCTTGCATAAAGCTCATCTGTACAAATTAAGAAACGTTTGTACTTAGAAAGAGTTATTTACATTTTTTTGCGTTATAACGGCACAATGTCACAAATTTACCATTGTTTGAACAGATTGTAGTCGAAAGGAATTGCGGACTTCATTTGGTTGTGGATCCAAGATATGGACTTCTTCCTTGTCCAACTTGATGACAGCCAAGTACCAATGGGCATTATCTCTCATCGGAACACACACCTACATATGCGGAAATTGTCAACACGTATTAAAAAAATAAACTGCAAACCATGTAATACTTATTAAGACGAACAGTTTACCTTGTTCACCATATTGGTTCGACTAAGGAATTTTGATTGGTATAGGTCTAATGCCATCTTGGGTGTTATTCCACATGAAATCACTAGTTCCTGCACATGTGGTAGTTGCACAATTGAAATTTTGTCAACACAATATGATTCACGTTAAAAAAACATGTGTTGTAATTTTTTTGGTGAGAGGAAATTGTCATTAAGTATAATCGGACCACAACCTGTAGTTCAGCAGGCAGATAGCACACTCCTTTTCCGTCCTTGGAATTTGTCCACAACTCTTCTAGAGTCAAGTGGCAGGCCATCGCTGTTATAACCTAATATAACATGGACAAAAAACATTGATAGTGGACAAAATAATTCTACGTAGAAAGCATTGATAGTGGACAAACAAAACAAAATTTTGGAGTTCCGTTGATTACATCAGCATCTACGAACGAGCGAGGGCTTAAGGACCACAATGACTTCCTCGTACAGGAGTTGTTGGAGGTTTTGACCAATACTTCGTCAGGTGGCAGATGGGCTAAGAATATATAGTGAGCAAGCTGGATTTGCTCATCATCGTATTCCATAGCGGTAGGTAGCTTAAACTTCAAAACAACCTGGAATAGGGGCCACAAATAAACACGAGTTGAAATGCATTTGTTATGACGGAATAACGGCAATGAACACTTCAATGGCAAACATGACACCTTCATTACCTTGTCAACCGAAGGTAGACAAATACTTTTTCCATTTGGCTTCTTTGGTGTGACCTCAGAGTCAGATTCATCGTCCGAAATAAAAACGATGACTGAAGCAGGAGTGGGTGGAGTGCTGACACCTTTGGGTATCCTTAGTTTCTTTGTTGGAGTCAAAAATTCGGCTGTCTCCTACAATGCCAGTGAACCTGCGATTAATAAATTAACTAGAATGAATTTCAATGGTAAAAAGAGCTATTATACATACCACAAGCTTGGACGAAGAGCGAGTAAGTCTCCTATTTTCCATGTTGTGCCTCTGATCTAAGCTTTACTCTGTACTCAAAATCGCGGCAAAGAAGGATATGGAACCACTGCTCTACCGATGAAGATTAATTATATATACAAGGTTAGGATAAATTTTGGCGCCATATTTTTCCCGCGGAAAAATAGTTAGGGTTTAGTCTAAGGTAAATGAACTTGGGATAAACATGGGTAGTTATTAAACCTAAAAGTAAAAAGATACTTTTTTCGATTGAATAAAGAATTGAGTGCTATTAGTAAATATTCGCTCATATTAATATTTGATCCTTCCCCATACAACTTGAGGACACCTAGAGTCAGCTGGCGTTTGGGTTTACTACGAAAGGTTTTTCATTTTAAATATTTTCATTATTTGTGAAAATGGTTAAGAAATCACTAAGATAAAGAACAGAAAGTTCAACTCGTTCCTACCAAAAATATAAGATATCACAAATCGTGTTATTAATGGGGATAATTATTAAGTGGCCCATTGAATCATTAATTCGGCCATCATTCCCAGTAGGGTTTTGTAATCTACGTCCTTGGTTCCCCAAAATTTCCAGCCGTGACAATGACGTCGGAGGCAGACTCACCATTGACGTCGGAGGGAGTCCTAGTATTGACGTCGGAGGGAGTCCAAGAAAACGCTGGTGCCGGAACCAGTCACACCACCCAGGAAGATAATGTCGCCGATCTCATATTGCTACAGCCTGAAGATATTAAAAAAATGAAGTTCGATGATACAGAAGAAGCCTATGATTTCTACATGGACTACGGGTTAGTCAAAGGCTTCGACATCAGAAAATCAGACATTGGTCGTGATAAGAAAAAAGTTATGATATGGCGTGACTATGTATGCTCTGGCGAGGGAAAGAGGCGCGTGAAGAGCACAGAACGAAAGAGAGAAGCAAGAGGGGAGACCAGATTTAACTGCAGAGCCAAGATGCGTGTTAAACAACACAATGTCGATGGGAAGTGGTATGTGCACCAGTTTGATGATGTACACACACATGAAACGATCCCCAGAGAATATAGACACTACATGAAAGGGAAACGTCGTATGAGTGATGCAGTGAAAGCAGCGATAAATTTTAGAAGAGCTGCAGGTATGAAAACTTCTCAAATTGTGAATCTGGCCGTATCAGAAGCAGGAGGCTACGAAAATTTGGGGTACACGAGGAAGGATGCATATAATTATGTGGAAAAAGAGAGGAAAGAACAAATCAGTGAAGGTGATGCCGCAACAGCCCTAGCCTACCTGCAAGCTAAATGCAGCGCGGACGAGCATTTCGTTATTGAACTAAAGAAGAATGACGACGACCGGCTTATTAACATTTTCTGGGCCGATAGTATTTCTGTTGCTGATTATGCATGCTTTGGAGAATTACTGTCATTCGATGCTACTTACAAAAGGAACATTTACCAGATGCCTCTCGTGATTTTTTCAGGTACTTTTCCTTGGCACATAGAATTATCCCGAGCATGCTAAAATAACCCTAGAAGTTTGCATAATCTAACTTTGTTTGAACTTTTTTAGGTGTCAACCACCATTCGCAAACTTGCGTATTTGCATGTGCTTTCTTGGCTAACGAGAGAGAGGACAATTATATTTGGGTGTTGGGAGCTTTGAAGAGAAGGCTAGGCGGTGTAGATCCCAAGACTGTTATTACAGATGGGGATAGAGCAATGCGTAATGCTATTCAGAAAGTATTTCCCGATGCAACACATCGTCTATGTTCCTGGCATATAAACAAGACTATAACCAGAAATGTGAAGAATCATCCTACTTTTTTGCCCCAATGGAAGCATTTTGTGTCAGCTGACTGGGAACCTTCAGAATTCGAAGAAAAGTGGAAAACAGTGGTTGAGGAATGCTCCCTTCAGCACAACAATTGGGTCTCCAATTTATTTGACCAAAGACATGAATGGGGGTATGCATATTTGCGTTCGAACTTCTTTGCAGGCTTGACTACAACATCAAGATGTGAAGGACTGAACTCTCAACTTGCCAATTATATCGAGAAGGATAAAAATCTCCTTGAGTTCTTTATTCACTTTGATCGTTGGACTAGGGATATGAGGGAGAATGAGCGTCATGCTGATTTTGAATCCATTCATCGAGAACGAACCATCACAAGCAATGTCTTAGTCTCACTTCAGAAGAGTGGAGCGGCGGTTTTCACAAAGAACGCATTCTTCTTATTCAGAGACGAGGTTGAAAAGTCGGCATGTTGCATAAGGTTGGAGACAGAGCGATCGGAAATTGAGCATGTGTACAAGGTCAAGGTGTTTGGCATGGCTAAGGTTTTTCAAGTGACGTACGCAGTTGAACCCTTTGCAATGGAATGTAGTTGTAATCACTACAATTATATGGGAATACCATGTCGTCATATGATTTTTGTACTGAAAGAAGAGAGCATACTGGAACTTCCTGAAGGCCTAGTACGTCGAAGATGGTCAAAGAAGCCGAAGACACTAGAGAGCTTGGAGGAACCGGGCAGACTAGATGAATCGCAACTTTTCGCATTGAGGTTTGCCATGACTATCACTTTTAATTTTTTTTTTTAGTATTGGTTCGAAGCTAGGTGAACATTAATTTTACTCACTTTGTATAAAATCTTGTGTCAATCAGGTATGGTACTATTCAACAACACAGCTTACAACTAATGTTAAAAGGGGCAAAATCTAGTGAGTGCTTCAAGATTGCTCGTGAGGGAATTCAATCATTATGTGAAAAGTTGGACATGGTGGACACTGGCAACGTGGACATACCCGGCATTAATAGGCCGAAGGCGAATGAAATTTTGTTGGATCCATTACAAGTCAAAGCTAAAGGTTCGGGGGCTAAAAAATCTAAAAGGAAGAAAGGAGAACCACGACAGTGTAGCAATTGCGGTGAATTTGGCCACTATAGGACCCGATGCCCACATCCTGTTGGCTATGTGAAGCCAACCTCAAACGGTGATGCCCCGAATGATGGTGTTTCAGAAGAAGGTGGCGGTGGCGATGACACCGATGTTGATCCTCCCAGCACTCAAGATCAGTCGGAAACAGTACAGAAGAGAAGGCAAAAGCATTGCAGTAAGTGCGGTTCTACCAAGCATAATGCAAGAACGTGTACTGGGTCTGGGCCATCCGATGATGAAAATGACGATGATGAAAATGACGATGACGACGATTATGAGCAACCTAGGGTAAGAATAAGATATAATTGTTCGTGTCTACACAATGCAGTTGCACCCAATAATTTTGTACGTCTAAAATCGTCGTTATCGATTTTGCAGAAGAGGCCTGTTACAAGAAGTAGCAAACTAAGGATTGTTGAAAACTTGGAGTGAAGATGGACGTCCTTATCCTATTCGGATTAGGACTAATGGACTATGTGAAGACTGCCAGTATCAGCTTGAAGCGGCGTCGTTTGATTTATAAGAAGACTGTTGCCGTCTGCGGTGTCGTTTTACTTGTGTGTCATTTTATTTATGTGTCTCTTTGGTCTATAAGAAGACTACTGCCTGCTACGGTGTCGTTTTATTTAGTTCGGATGGATTTGATTGAAGTCGATATGGAGGTTGCTCCCTAAATAAATCATGTGCAACATTTCAGTTGAATTATTTTTCTCACTCGTTTTTTTTTATTGAATTATTAGATCGGATTTTGGCTACTAAAATTATGAAATGTAATTTGGGCGTGAAATGACAAGAGCATTCGCCGACAGAGGACTTCTGAAAATGGAGGCAGTAATCAAGAAATAAACTACAATATTTTTATTGAGTGAAAGATCCCTCACCGATATATTATTAAGATCTCAAACACTAAAAGTACAAATCTTGAAAAAGAAAACAATGTACTT